TGAGGCTGATGCGCTGCACTGGCAAAGGCGGTTCTGCGCATGATCTGAATTGTCCAAGGGACACCGTAGGAACACTGGCAGGCAGCGCACCACTAAATGCGGACAAAGGGCATGTATCAACGCCTAGCATGTTCCTTGGAACTCGCCTACCCTCTTCATCACTCAGAGCTGTCACTCAGTCCTGCTTCACGTTCTGCTTGCCTGGCCTCTTGAATGGCTCTGGCCATTTCCTCCTCTTCAAACTCTTGGTACGCTTGCTGAGTTGCCTCTTCTTCGCGAAGGTCCGCCAGAATTTCCACACGTTCCTGGCTGTCTCGCTGTCGGTTTTCATAGTCCTGCAGCCATTCCTCTTCCTGGGTAGTTGGCAGCCTCCACTGTCAATCCGTTCCCAGGATCATCCCAGGTCCCAGGTTTCCGGCCTTCGAATTTTCATTTTTCCCTGGTATTCTCCTTCGTACTCGTAGTGCTGGGTGGCAGCGTCGCGCACGTTCGTGCCGCCAATCTGGTGTTCTTCATCTTCATCCGAGACGTCGACCACGGTGCTTTGTGCCTCTGCCTGGGAGACGTAGTCTGCTGGCAACCAGCGCCTCCAATCATCCTCATCTGATTCTGCTCCCGGTTGTTTTTTGCCTTGGATGCGTCTGCGCGCACTCGTTTGTGTCTGCCCCCCCCTGTCAATCTTGGCGCAGCCGAGGTAGCAGCCGGTGAAGCATCGTGTGGGTTGCTTTCATTGCCCGTCTGCTCGCGCTCCATCATGGCCTCTGTCTTCGGCTTGCGGTGGGGGTACTGACTCCGGCTTCGCTCCCCGGGTCTTGTCTGCCTGTGTACCAGGCATGCCTGGAATGGTTGACAACCTCTCCGCCTTCTTTCTTCTTAGCTTTGGCGGCCTTCTAGGCTCGAAGTCAACCCTTCCTGCCTAGCATCCTCCTATGGACGCTCATCCTGGGGTCTGGCCACGGGCCGACTCGTCTCTGTCTTGCTCTTGCTCTGGCGGGTTCTTGTCCATCACCTTTTTCCACTTGCCGCAAGCTTCTGAGCACGAGAAGGGCTTTGGGCGCCTGCGCCTCCTCCACCTTCGCATACGCTAGTGATTTTCCCTGGTGACCCGCTTATGTCTGGAAACATAAGCTTTCGAGGGCCACAGCAATGTAGCTTTGCCCACACTGATCTGGTCTTGAGCTACAATGATTTAGCTGTGAGCAGCCGCTAAAACTTGAGCCATTGCTTTGAGCCTGGAGCCACAAGATTTAAGGTTTAGGGTTTGGTGTTTAAGTTCAGAGCTTAGGGCTAAGAGTTTAGGGTCTATTTGTGGTCTTAGTGAGCAGTTAAAATTTAACTGCTCGGTCTACTTCATTTTTTGGGGTCTATGTGGGGTCCATTTTGACTATTTGGAGTCTATGGGAGGTCTGTGTGGGGTCTATTTGTGGTCTTAGCAAGCAGTTAAATTTTAACTGCTCAGTCTACGTCACTATTTGGGTCTACTGTTTTGGGGGGCCACCCAGCAATGCGGAATGCCCTTTTCAGTTCGTCCCATTTGGCCAGTCAGTTCGGTCGCCACCTGGCATGTGCCCAAATGTTTTTTCCAGGTAGGGATTAGGATGATTTTCGGGCGGTATGACATTGGGCATTTGGGGCTAAAGTTTAGGGTTCAGGGTTTGGGGCCTGTAGACAGTTACAGTTATGTTCTGAACTGTGCTTCATGTGTCCATGGCAAATGTAGCCTGGTTCCGTGTTCAGGAGGTTCAGGATATGAAACGCAGACATCAGAATAGTTTGCAACATTACGCCGTTGTAATCATCATCTAGGTCTAGTAGAATATCAACCCGAAATTCTGTTCTACTTCAACAGGCCTGTGCATCAGCTATGTTTTGAGCCTCAAGCCTACAACCCTAAACTGTGACCGCAATATAGGGGCCTAAACAGGTTTGAGCTTGCGTGTTCCCATGCAAATTGCACATAGCTGCATACCCAACATCGTATGATTCTGTGATCCATGATCTCCACAAGTAGCTTTCTGCAGTATAGCAGGTAGTATTTCATAAATATCATACCGCCCGATAATCATCCTAATCCGCGATTTCCTGGGCCCTGGAAACCCTAACAAACCCCAACCCCAAATCCTAAACCCTAAACTCGAAACATGAAGCATGATCACTCACCAAAAATTTCATTACGCTCCTAATTACCAAAGTTCTTGAGGCCCCCTACTCCCGAGATCCCAAATTTCCCATCCCAAACCCCAAAACCCCAAACCCCTAAACACTAAGCCCCAAACCCTCGGCCCTAAACCCCAAATCCCACACCCGAAACCCCAAATCCCATACCCTAAACCCTACACACTAAACTCTAAACCCCAGAGTGTTTCACTTAGCCCGTCATCATCATCACAGCCTTCTCAGCATCGTTGAGGCAATACCGCAGTCAGGCCTGGGCCGCATCAAATGTCAATCAAATGCGCACTGTGTCCCTCTATATGGGATGATAGCTGGTAACCGGGCTGATACAAGGTTGTAGATATAAGGGTGTAGGGGGCTATATATGAAATGGAACTTTCTCGCACAAAGACGCTGGCTGCTGAATCTGAGCACACTGCATGTCGACGTGAAAGAATGAATCCACCTCGCAAGCGCCAACAAATCCTAAACACCAATGCGTGCCACATGCTCAGCGAAAAATCAG